TTTGCCGCGCGCATCCTCGGACGCACGTAAGTTCCGTCCCCCACTGTAATGTCACCTTGAGACCACAGCTGAGTGCGCCGCGCGCGAAGTAGGCGGGGTGACCTACTTTCGACGGACGCGCGCAACGGACGCTCTCCGATCAACATAGCGCATATGAGCTCAAGGGAATCCCGTTTACAAGGGTTGGAACCTTCACCGAAATGGGCGATGCAATGGAAAAAACTTTGTAACTTTGCTTCAAAAAGCCCACACGCCAAGAAAAATGGGTAAAGGCCAGAAGTAGGTCAACAAGTCGGACGAAGGTGACTCACTCGCGATAAGCGGAACGTTTTCGAAATTTGTGCAAAAACTAATATCCGATCGCAGCTCATTGCCAAATACTCGGGAGTTGGGTTCAGGTCAAAAATCATCTCTGTTCGACGCGTACTTTGTTGTGACGCACGCGCCAGTGTGCGTAGCCCAATTTGTAAACATTAACACTGGGTCCCTGGTATCGTCCTCACAGAAGAACATTTCACCAAAATGTTTTATTTCCGTTGACGAGTTTTGACTTCATTCCTGTTCAGGCAAGATTGGGGGATGGTGCATTGCGTGCAAAGTTTGCTGATCAGACCATTTGCTGCGTCAGCGCCAATTCAACGATCAGACTGCGATCATTAGTGAGCGCATGGACAGGTGAGATGGACATTTCTACCTTTATAGCGTTCACATATTAAATTTTCAGCAAGTTTTGTACCTTGAAGTATATCTATTGAACCATATTGAGCTGTAAAAAATTATTTCCCTCCAGCGAAAGCTGGGCATATCGTGTCGGTGCAAAACTAGAATTCCGTTAATTAGCTTATAATTTCAAATAATTTTAATTTGCAAATGGAATGTAGCTCCTTAATGAACGTGGACGCTTCACCACCAGGTGTACATCTAGTGTGATCGAAAAGCTTTTTGTCCCAGTCTCAACGACCTGGGTATTATTGTATGTCTGGTCGCGTAACCGATGGAAACGACAGTTCAATACCGGCGCCCAGCTCTTGGTGTAATCCGGGTATGGGTCCTTGATCGAACGGGTGCTCGTTATGCAATGCAAAGGAAGAATGAGAATTCGTGTAATCAAATATGCTGTGAAGGGGTTATGCCGTGAAAGGAAACACGTTGTCTGTGAAATTCTGCGTCCATAACATTTTATTTCACCGCGAAGTCACTGTAGGAGCCGGGTACCTATATGAGTTTCGTTCTTCTGAGCTTCTGTAAACTGCGTCTATACTTCGACGAGCTTTTCTGTCCTCACTTTGTCTCCTACACAAGTGATGAGAAGTCTCGGGGTGAAGCGAACTACGCAGATAAGAAGAAGAGGAAATTCTACGGTAAATTATAAGTTAAATTGGTGAGTTCTGATCGCCCTTCATTTGCCAATTCATCGGCAACCCTCCGGAATCATATAAGCATCACTTTCATGGGTTTAAACTAACTAAGAAGGAGTACGACTGCAAAAAAAAAATCAAAAAGGAGTTTTGGTACCTGTGTATGTTCAGTTCTGGGCTTGCCAAATACTTTTCCATCCTAGGGTCGTCATAGCTGATGCTGAAACCAAGTTTCAAAACGCCTTTGGAAGTTTACCTACGATACGAGTGTTTTGTCCAGGCCGAGTGAACCTAATAGGTAGGGAGAACTTGTTAAATTTCTTTCTTTCTTTCTACTTCTCTATTATGACTCTCTCGTGTGCAGTTTATTCTTATAACTTAGCACGAACATTATAAGCAGCAACCAATTCCAATATTTTAAGGCGAGCATATCGATTACCATGGATATGGTGTTTTACCAATGGCTATCAACGAGGGCACAGAAATTCTGGCGGCTCCGAATGGTAAGCAGGAAATTCGACTGGTGAATATCGACGATCAGTACCCGTAAGTGACCATATTTTCTTGCCTTCTACCAGATAAAAATTTTTGTAACATTTAGGCAAATTTCGATCTCTCTGCCTCTTGATTGGAAAGGTGCTTCCCCGCCGAAATGGTCTGACTATATTCTTTGTGGCTGGAAAGGGATTATGGACAAGCTTGGAGTGGAACAAATCGGATTCGACATGCTCGTAGGAGGTATTTGAACTCCAGACTGAGATTTCTAGTGGAATACGAGTCTCTTAAGTTTATAAATTCGTCTGGAATTCGTTCGTAGGTAGATGAAAATAGATGCCAAAGAGGTTTAAGGTGCCATTCCTCCTTCATCTGGACTATCAAGCAGCTCATCGCTTGTCTGTGCTGCTGCCTTAATAACTTGGATGATCCATACGGGAAACATCTTTGAAGGACTAACAAGGTTAGTAAGGGCAATTTATTTTGCTTTGCAGTAATCTCAGTATTTCGAGCTTCGAACATACTGAAGCTCTCCAACCTAATCATACCATATTTTCCTTAGAGAGGAGCTTGCTGAACTGTGTGCCACTGCGGAACATTACATTGGGACTCAGGGAGGAGGAATGGATCAGGCTGTGGAAGTGAGTTTAAAAGATTGATTCCATCTCCTTCTCACAACGTATTCTTTGAGAATTCTGCGTTGTCAGGTACTAGCTGTAGAGGGTAGTGCTCTTAGAATAGAGTTTTCACCACTTCAAGCACGACCAATAGCGTTGCCACCTCTTGCATCATTTACAGTTCTTCATTGTGGAGATACACTCAATAAGGTATGTCCCTAGATTTTTTTCATTTCGAGATCGTAGAAGTTTATTAGGGTTACTTGTTGTTTTGCAGGCTGCCACATCGCAGTTCAATGAACGGGTTGTAGAAGGGAGATTAGCCGGAAAGGTGTAAATTTTAATTGTGATATTTTGAATTTCATGTTCGTGAAAACTAAATAAGTGCTACAGAAGTTAGTAAGTAGCAGTACCTTGATTATCACACAATCAGCAACAAGTCCAGATTTTTCAAAATAATTTTCTTGTTCTTCTGAAATATATGTCTAAAACTATTTCTTCACCGTTTGCTGCATCCGCGAGAATTTCTTAACCACCCTCAGTTCTATGATTTTACATTTTTAAGACCGTAGGTAGACTTGTTTCTTTTGCTTGTATCAATGCTACTAACCATGCTTTATCAACACTTCTATCATAAGACTTCATAGTCGCTAGTCTCTGAAAGTTTATCTATATTTCACAAAAACTCTGTAGCATTTTCCGCAGCGGATGAAAGTACCTGTATAACCGGGCGCTTTTACTATTTATTCACTATCAGTTAGCAGTATGAGATCGACGACATAAGGGAGGTAGAAGCATATTGCTATTCTTTATTAACTTATTGCAATAACTACGACGTATTGAATCTGCTTGTCGTAGAAATGTGATATGAGTTAGATTTTTGCAGCTCCTGTTGCAACAAGCTGGAGGTTTAGCTGCCAAATCATGGCGATTGAAAGATGTTCAGGTTAGTTCCTCCATAGTAATAGGTAGGTCTTTTCCAATCATTCCTCTTCAGGAAGCCGTTGGAAAATCTTTGGAAGATATGGTAATCATGTGTGAATCTTTGCCTGAAAGGGTATCTCGGGAACAGCTGGAAGAGATGTTAGGAAAGGATACAGTTACAGAATGCCTCAGTTCCAATACTCAGCAAAGTAGGTTCAAATCTCGAGGACATTTTCTTTTGAAACATTTACAAAATAGTCCTCTTTACCATATCATGTCTTCAGAGCTGTCTACCTTTTGCTTTCGAGATTCTTTTATGTTACGCACATCTTTTTGCAATTCCAGTTATAGAATGTTTGGTCAGTCTTCTAGACGGAATACCATAAGTACCTCATCTATCTCCAATCCTGTAGTTTTCAATCATATCTGATGTCAGTGCCCTGATATAAGCTGGCCGACTTCTGATTCCCCAAAATGGGGTATTATGATCTTAATTAAATTTGTGATCACCTTTTTTATTTTAGTGACGTCCTTCAAGCTTCGATCACGAGCTCGACATGTTTACAGCGAGGCGGATAGAGTTAATAAATTTGAACAAGCATGCAAGAACAACGACTTGGCTGAAATGGGTAGACTTATGACAGCAAGCCATGACAGTTGTAGCAAGGTGAACATTGCTTCCAGGCCTTTGCAGCACACGTTCAACATCGAAATGTTTTTTCTTCGTCTTCTTCAGGACTATGAATGCAGTTGTACATCGATGGACAACCTGGTTGAGGAATGCTTGAATGCAGGCGCTTTAGGAGCTCGCCTTACCGGAGCGGGATGGGGAGGATGTGCAGTAGCCCTTGTCGACAACGCTCATCCACCAGATCTTGGAAAGAAAACACTGTTCCAAAGCGAGCCTTCAGCTGGAATTTCTGCTTCTTTTCTTTGAATCAACCTCATTGGACAACTTTGTTTTGTTCTTTATATTGGGAATATCCTACTCTTATACCGGGACGCTAATTTTCTTTTACATGGTGCGTATCATACTTTTGTAACACTGCAGCTGTAACTGCAAGGTACATGCCTTTGCGACTGTATGTGACAAAAAGAGTAATAAAGGTGGGTACAGGGTGGAAATCGCGCTTAATGTAACCGTTTTGAAAAATAATGTCTGCTCAAAGAGCCATCATGCGTATGTACTACGCTGTAATGTTTGAAGTAATAAGGATAAAGGATGACGTCTTGGGGCGTTGATCAATCCCATCTGAGGGATGCGCCCACGCATTCGACTTCAATTCA